TACAGAAAAAAAAGAACTCTCAAACTAGAATTGTATACTCAATGAAACTATCCTTCAGGAATGAAAGGGAAAACAAGACATTCTAAGTTGAAAAAAAACAGTTTTTCACCAGCATATATATCCTAAAATAATGGCTAAAGGAAGTTCTCTAAACCAAAAGGTAACAATTAAAGGAATCTTGAAAAATCTTGAGGGAAGAACATAATGAGCGAAAATATGTAAATACAATAGGCTGTCTCCTCTTGAGTTTCTTAAATTATATTTGACAGCTGAAGTAAAAATTATAACACTGATAAATGGGGGAAAGTAAAGGGAAATAAGGTTTCTATATTCCATTCAATATGTTAAAATAAGTTATGTGTATGTATATATAAAAAATATAAAATATGATGTAATATCTAGAGGAAACAATAGGAGAGCTATGCAAAAAAAATACACTTAAAAATACTGTAGATAAATCCAAGTGGAACTGTAAAAATGTTCAAGTAACTCACAGGAAGGCAAGAAAATAAAAACAGAAACAAAGAGAACAAACAGAAAAGCATTATTACATCAATAATTATATTAAATGTAAATGGTCTACATATAGCAATTAAAAAATAGAGACTGGCAGAGTAAATTAAAAACCATGATCCAACTGCATGCTATTATAAGTAATCTACTTCCAATATAATGACACAGACAAGTTGAAAGCAAAAGAATAGAAAACATATATCATTTAAACATTAATCAAAGGAAAGCAAGAGTAGTTGCATAAATATCAGATAAAGTAGACTTCAGCACATAGAAAATTACCAACGATGAGAGGGACATTATATAATGATAAAAGGGGCTAAGAATGCATAGCAATCCTAAATGTGGATGCATCAAACAACAGAGCTGCATATGTGAAGCAAACATTTATAGAACTAAAAAAATACACAAATCCACAACCATAGTTTAGACTTTTAAAAACTCCTCTCTTATCAACTGATTGAACAACTAGACAGAAAATCAAGAATACAGAAAAATTCAGTAAAAACATCAACCAACAAGATCTAACTGACATTTATAGAACACTAGACCCAACAGCAGCAAAATACATTCAAGTGCCCACAGAACATATACCAAATAGATCACAAGCTGAAACCTAAATCAAACCTCAACAAATTTAAAAGAACTGAATTCAGAGTGTGTTGACCACAATGGACTCAAACTAGAAAAAACAAAAAGGTAACAGGAAAATCTCCAACACCTAGAAACTAAACAAGATACTACTAAATCATCCTGGGATCAAAGAGGAAGTCTCAAATTAAGAAAATACAATGAACTGAATGAAAATAAAAACACAAAATATTAAAATTTGTGGGACTAGCTAAAGCAATGGGGAAAAAGAAATTTGTAGCACTAAATCATACATCTTAAAAATTTCAAATCAATAATCTAATCTCCTACCTTAAGAACTCAGAAAAAGAGCAAAATAAATCGAAAGCACCGAGGAAATAACTGCAGAGATCACTGAAATCTAAAACAAAATAAAAGAGAAAATTAATATAACAAAGAGCTGATTCTTTCAAAAGATCAATAAAATTGGTAGTCTGCTACCAAGAAAAAAAAGAAAAGGAAAGATGACACAAATTACCAATACCAGCAAGGTAACAGGGGATATTACTACAGAGGCTACAGACATCAAGGAAATAATAAGGGAATGCTATGAACAACTCTACATGTATAAATCTGACAACTCAGACAAAACGGACCACCTGCCCCACCCATTAAAACTACCACAACTCATCCAATTTGTAAGAGATCATTTGAATAGCCCTATAACTATTAAGGAAATTGAATTCACGGTTTTAAAACTATGGAAAAAGAAATCTTAGGCCCAGGTGGTTTCACTGAAGAATTCTACAAAACACTGAAAAAAGAATTAACACTATTCTATATAATCTCTTTTAGAAAATAGGAGGGAACACTTCCCAATTTGTGTAATAAAGCTAGAATTATCCTGATATCAAAACAAGATGAGACAATACTCCCCGCCCCCCCCCCCAAAAGAAGAATACTACAGTCCAATATCCCTTATGGATACACAAAAAAATTCCTTAACAAAATACTAACACACAGTATTCAGCAATATATAAAAAGAATTATATGCCATGAACAAGTGGAGTTTATTCTAGAGATGGATGGTAAGCAATGACATTTACTATCATATCAAGAAGCTAAAGAATATCATGTCAATTGATGCAGAAAAACCATTTGCAAAATCCACTCATTATAATTTTTAAAAAATCAGTAAAGTAGGACTACAGGGGAACTTAATTCAAATTGATAAATGGAATCTACAAAATACCTACAGCTAATATCTGTTATACAGCTACTTAACAGTAAACAACTGAATATTTTATCTCTAAGAACAGGAAAAAGTCAAGGATATCCACTCCTACTGAACTCACATCCAACACTGTGCTGGATGTTCCAGCCACTGCAATAAGTGAAGAAAAGGAAATAAAAGGCATATGGATCAGAAAGGAAAAACATCCCTATTTACAGATGAATAATTGTATACAGAGAAAATGCCAAGAAATCTACTGAAAAAAACTCCTACAACTAAAGAGTGAGTTCAGCAATGTCACCAGATATGAGATAAACATACAAAAATTGTATTTCTAAATAATGACAAGACACTGACACCAAAGTTGGAAATATAATTACATTTATGATCATCCAAAAATGAAATACTTAGGTGTAAATCTAACAAAACATGTACAGGACATACATGTTAAAACTGTACAACGCTAGCGAATTAAACAGAAACAAACCATGTTAATGAACTGAACAGTCACCAGAGTAAAGATGTCAATCCTCCCCATATATACAATCAACACAATTCTTATTAAACTACCAGATACAGACGAAATTTTTCTAAAACTTATACAGAAAAACAAAGGAATGAGAAGAGCTAAATAATTTTGAAAAATAATAATGAAATGAGAATAATTATTCTACCTTATTTCAAGATTAGGCAAAGAAAATGAAGATCAATCTAAGTCTCATGCTGTACAGAAAGAATTAACTCATGTGTGGGTTTTCCACATCCTACACATTCCAAGAAAGGTTTGGCTCTTGTCCAGCTCCTAGGAGCCTCTAAACCTTGGAATATCCTATCTAATAAGAGTGTCTTTGTTTACCTTGGGTCACTCCATTTAGTCTACGCTAACAATGTGATTTATAACAGAAGCCTTGAACCATGTGGTATCAGCTTGACTTCTCAAAGGCTGGAGACTAAGGTTGTCCACCCAGGCAGTCAACTATGTGAACATAACCAGTCTGCAATAAAAATCCTTGACACCAAGGCTCAGGTGACCTTGCCTAGTTAGCATTATTCTGTATGTGATGTCACACATCATTGCTGGGAGAATTAAACACTGTCCACACAACTTTACTGGGAGAGGCCACTAGAAGGTTGGGCCTGGTGTCTCCTGGACCCCGCCCCTTCCTTCTTTTTTTATTGCTGATTTAAATCTGTATCTTTTTGCTGTAACAATGCACAACCATTAATATAACAACTTTTTAATTCTGTGATTCCTTCTAGCAAATCATTGGGCCTAAAAATGGTCTTGGGGACAAACAAACACACACACTTCATAAAAAATTAACTCAAAATGGATCATGAACTTAAATAGAAAATATAAAATAATAAAGAAAATAATAAAATAATGAAAAGAAAAAAAATCTCCAAGATCTGGGACTAGACAAAGAATTCTTCACCTTGACTCCAAAGTACGATCCATATAGGAAAAAACATTGAACTCTGTCAAATTTAAAATTTTTGTTCTGGAAAAGACAGTGAGAAGATGAGAAGACAAGCTACAGTGTGGAAGAAAATATCTGCAGACCACATAGCCGACAAAGGATTAGTATCTAAAATATATAAAGAACTCTCAAAACTCAACAGTGAAAAAAAATCTGATTTGAACATGGGCAAGACGTGAAGAGACATTTCACCAAAGAGAATACAAAGATGACAAACAAGCACATAAAAAAATGTTCAATAGTATTAATCTTTAAGGAAATGAAAATTAAAACCACTATGAGATACTAATTTATCCCTATCAGAAGGGCTAAAATTTAAAAACCACTGAATGCCAGCAAGGATGAAAAGAAAACTGGGTTACTCATACTAACCCATTCCCATTGCTGATGAAAACGGAATAGTCACTCTGGAAAATAGTGTGACAGTTTCTTTAAAAACTAACCATGCAACTGCCATATGACCAGAAACTGCACTCCTGGACATTTACCACAGAGAAATGAAGACACATGTTCACACCAAAACCTGTACACAAATGTTTATAGCAGTTTTATCTCTAATAGCCAAAAACTGGAACAATCCAGATGTCTTTCAATGGGTGAATGGCTAAGCAAAACGTGGTCTACCCAATACCACCACTGCTGTACACATACTCCTCAGCAACAAAAGGAATAACTTATTGATACACGCAACCTGGATGAATCTCCATAGGAAAAAACCCAATTCCAAAGGGCTACGTACTGCATGACTGCATTTATACGGCATTCTTGAAATAACAAAATCGTAGACATGGAGATTAGTGGTTTCCAAGAGTTAAAGGAAAGGGGAAAGTGGGAATAAGTAACATTAGGTATACTGTAGGGACAGAAATGTTCTCTACTTTGATTGTATCAATGTTAATATCCTGGTTATGATTCTGTACTGTAGCTTTGCAAGATAGTATCATGGGGAAGGGGGTGCAAAGACTCTCTGCACTATTTCTTAAAATTACATGTGAATCTACAATTTACTGAGAACAGAAAGTCTAGTTTAAAGAGTGGGTGAAGGAAAAACTAATATGATCAGAGGGACAATTTCATTTGATATATATAACAATACTGAACATTATTTCTTAGTTTGGAACAATAAAACACATCCTTTGAATGTTCTCAATCACAATCTTTCTCCAAATAGTCATAGCTAAACACTAAGAATTTTAGCTCACCTTCCACGCTGTCAGAACAGGAAGTTCCAATGCCGGTGTCACCACTGTCAGAAGCTATACTATGTCTCCTGATATGGTTATTTCGATGGTTGGATGGAACAGTTGTGGCCTGCCACAATGATTCAGTACCAGGTAACCATGCTGATGAAGAATAATCTGGGCCTACAAAGAAAAATATGCAAAAATTAACACACTTTTAATTTCTATGAGTTGGCAGAAAGTATCTTTTTCTGACCTTGTAAAAAATACACATAGGGTATAAAATGTTATTTTCTGCCCCAAATAATTAAAATAGATCAATAATATCTAAGATTCACCAAATAAACTTACATATCACACACATATAAATTCAATGCTGATTTAGCAGCTTTCTCTGGCTGAAGGACTGTGATATTTGCATATAGGTTTTAAATCCATACAGCTCTTATTTAAAATGTCAAATCTTTCATCTATTTGGAAATGTCAGTGCTCTGCTCTGGAACACTGGATAGGTAGGCATCTGTGATTCCATACACAGGAATTAGCGAAGACCTGGGGCTCAGATAAAGTCTAACTGAATCATATTGCATGGCAGTATAAGAAGAATATGCTCATGGAAGGTCAAAAAAATCTATTTTTAATACTACATGCTATCACTTAAAATCTTAAATTATTTTGCATTATTTTAAGTGACTTTATTTCTTTAGTTATCTTTTGATAAAAGTTTAACACCACAGCATCTTCCTGGTTCTTTGCTCAATTTTCTCTTTTGAGTTACATTAAGTTATTATTTTTTAACTAAGTTATCACTTTTGATGTTCTCTTGAACATTATTTTCACTTATGTTATTTTACTTAATTTTTATTTGCCTTTTTCTGATTCATCCATTGTTTTACTTTTTTGCTCACTTTATTCTTTTATTGTCTATTACAATGCCAAATCAAAGTATATCCATTGGCCAGTGCCAGTCTGTGAACTAACTATTTATGACTAGTTCATGAAGGTTACATGCAGAAATAAATAATAAATATTTAGAAATTTTTACAGTAATACAAAAGAGCAATTTTAAATCCGTTGAATTTTATATAAAAGCAACAGAAGCATTCATCTTTATTAAGGGCTAACATGATTCCAAATTGGAGCCTGCAGACTTATTTGTGAGAGTTAAAAAGTTCTGTACAATTTTGGGTTCTCATTTTAATGATAGTCTAAAAAAATTAATAAGCACATTATAGATGATCTAATGAGTTATCTCAAAGCAGATTATTTCTACCTAATTTCAATACCACTGTATCTGTCCGTATAGCTAACTAAAAAAAAACAGATTTATTATCACATAATTTCAATGCCCCCATTTGTATTTGATGTTTGCAACTGCAGTTACTAAGTAAAGGGTGAATAACATAATGGGCACTTACCATCATGATGTGAAACAAGACATCTTTATAATTATCATGTGACACACCTGAAATTGGCATGCAGGGAGTGGCTTCCAGCAGTTTAAAGGTAAGGATCACAAAATGACAAACATGTCCATAGAATTAATTAAATCATTTTACCGCTTTTCATATTAAAATCAAAATACATAAACAGAATAAAACGCAAACTGAAGCTATTTTCTACCATATTAATCCCAACATTAAAGATTTAGTTTTAATAAAATATTATGCCACATTGAGTTTTTATTAATGTATACGGTTTTATAAATATATGAAGTAATAAATAGCCTCAAAAGCTATATACATTTAAATTAACACAAGTTTAAAAAATATTGGCCTCAGAGACACTCCTACTAGCTTTGAGGTCTAGAACGACCACTCAAAACTCTATAAAGTCTAAACCTCTCAGGATGGCACTTATCTTAGTCCCTAAGATCAAATAAGCACACATTAAAGCATTAGATGAAGGTAATCTGTCACCAGGCCTACTCTCTTAACTGTCTATAATCTATACCAAAATGTTTTCTTCAAGTAATATCCTATCTAAATGAACTCAAAGTCCTGTCTAAAACATTATCAAAAAGGACAACCAGCCCACTTCTCTCTCTCCCAAAAGCAAACCTATTCATTCAAATTTTTTTATGAATACCCAGAAAATAGCATAGATAGTATGGGAATAGCAACTAAAGATATAAAAAGATGTCCAATCTTACTAATAATAGAGATATGACAAAGTAAATAAACAAAATTTAAATACGGTTTTTAGATTTTTAAAGAAATCTATAATATTATCTATAATACTAAATATTACTGACAAATATTTGAAAAATGATGTCAAACATATTATAGGAAATGTTCATATACTTTTGTGGACATATATATTGATACCCACTTCTGGGTATATAACTCAAAGGTAACAAAATCACTATTTCAAAGAGATATCTTAACTCCCATGTCCACTGAAGTATTATTCACAATAGCCAAAGTATAGAAACAACCTAGGCATCTATCGACAGATGAACAGATAAAGAATATGTGAGATATATATAAAACAGAATATTATTAATCCATAAAAAAGAAAGAAACCCTGCCATTTATGACAACATGGATGAACCTGAAGGGTATTATGCTAAGTGAAATAAGTCAGACAAAAAAAGAGAAATACATGATATAACATATGTGGAATTAAAAAACAAAAGTCAACTGATAGAGAGTAAAATGGTGGTTGCTGGGGGGAAATAGGAAGAGACTGGTAGGGCACAAACTTTCAGTTATAAGGTGACTAAATCTGAGAACCTAACATAGAATATGATGACTATAGTTAACAACACTGTTTCATATACTTAAAATCTGCTAAGGGAGTAGAACTTAAGTGTTCTCACCTTAAAAACAAACAAAAAATATATGAGGTGATGAGTGAAAATCCTTTCACAATGTATATTTATATCAAATCATCATGTTTATACTTTAATATATTACAATTTTATTTGTCAACTATACCTCAATAAAGCTAAGGAAAAAAAAAATAATCCAACATTTGGAGGAGTGGAATTACAGACAAAAGAATGTTCCTTAAGCAGTATTTCTAATTAGAATCAATTACAAATAAACCCAAAAAGGACAAAGGGAAAAGAATTTTGGCCATCAAAATAATGACGATAATCTAAAGGTATAAAATGCTTGTGCTGCCGATCTAAATAATAAGACATAAAATTTAATGGGAAATTCACAAGTAACCTCAGATTTCATATTGTCCAGGAATTTATTCTCTGAACTTTTTTTTGCCTGTCTTAAGCTTAGCACCCACCACATCAAACTGAAGTTATTAGTTCATGTTTCTACCCTTTTAGACTGCAGTGGTGCTCAGGGAGGGCAAAGACCATGTGTTGCAGATCTTATTCAGTGCTGCAGCCAGCATATAGTAAAGATTCAAAGAATGCACAGAGCAACTGCAAAGAAATACAACAAAATACTACTGGCAGTTTTCTCTAGATGGTAGAATTTCTTTGACCTTTATACTTTTATTCTTCTGGTAATTATTAGTTTACTTTGATAATGGAAGGAGGACTTGTGCTTTGTAACTGTTAATGGAAGTCTTGAGATATTTTTCCTAGAATGAGTACACAACTTTATTTGGCATAGTCTGAAACAAAGTGAATACCTTCTAACATATAAATCAAACTACCATAACTTTTCTAAATTTTCAGAAATATAAAACTTCATATTAAATGTACAAAAAATGAATTAGATCTATAAACTTAAAGGGAAAAATGTTTCTTCAAAATCAAAATAAAGCACTTAGAACAGATTGGTTCTTTGTTTTGGTTGGCAGCTACACATTTGTTTCAATATCATAATTATCTTACTCCATTAGAAGAAAAAAAATATGAAGCTTTTTAAAGCTGTAGGAGATTCTACTGGGGAAACACAGCAACTCATACACTTTGACAAAAGATCTGTATGGTCTTTTTTCCAGGAAGGTATTTCATCAAGAGCTCTAGAGAAAGGAAGCAGGTAAGTCTAATCACATCAGACGAATCACTGGATCAATAAATGGGGAAAACAAATGTTGTACTCAGAACATCTTATTCTTTTAGATCAGTAAGATATTTTAATTTGTTTATAAAGCTATCACGGTGATCTTATTTTTTTTGCTAAATTTTTCCTTTTAAAGAAAGCAAAGCAATTCATTCAAGTTTCCCAAAATTACAACATAATAAAATAGAATTACCAATACAAGTTGATGATCTCCAATATGAACTCAGATTTCTCTTAACCTTTACATATGCTTCTTTTTAAAAAAAAAGATCCAATATATTTTGTACCAAGAACAATGATAATTAACAAATGTCATGAATAAAATAATATTCTAATCTTTGTAGTGAATGAATTCAGTCTGAGAATGATCTGTTTTGTCTCTATTCAAGTCAATCCAGAATCACAAAGCAGTGAAGACTAACCATGAAATATGCCCACCAGGTAACATAACAAGGAAAACTGTCGCACAAAGTAATTATGACTATGCTAATGAAATGGGAACTTCTTAAGTTTTAGACATGTGCTATGCACTTAAAAGAAAAAAATAAGGTTCAGTGATCTCTGACAATAAAGTCTTATCTAGGCCCTATCACATTAAAAGATTGAATGATTGTGTAAAATCAGTTCTAAAACAGACAGAAGTATTTCTGTAATAGCAAAGATCCCAAGACACCATATACTGGAACTTCTCTTTGGAAGAAAGCATGTTATATTTTTTAATACCAGTTTCAATTCTTGTAAAAGAATACTGAATGCCCAGGGATAAATTATTTTAAAAATTATTAATATATCTCACGCTTAAAACATAGGAAGATTAGCATCAAATGAAGAAGTAACCTATTATATTTTTGCTGGAGCTTTTTTTAATTAGAAGTAAAAAGGCTTACAATATTAAGTCTTCTACAATATTTTAATATATCTGTAACTGCACTTAGAATAACTAATCTTATTTTTTAATGACGACTCTAAAGCCAGACCACTGACAAAGCAAATTTACACTATTACATAAAAAGCTAAATATATATACTACAAATCATGAACACAAATTTCAGTACTTTTCAAAATGCACATTATCATCCATTCAGTAGATTGAGACTAACCTTTTTAATGAGAATAGAACAGAAAATATCAAAGCATATTAACCCTCATATGACATATGATGCACATATCTCACATTTTAACATCTCTGAAATGTTAGCAAGTACA